TGGATGCCATTGCAAATTTATATAGCTATACTAGGGAAGAATACTTTACTTTCTTGATGTTAATAATGTTTTCTGCTATAGGTCACCAGTTATTGGGTGAGACAAATATTGCTAGAAGACTATTTCAAGTAGTTGCTAACAATAATTATCCTAATTTAACCACTAGGTAAAACACAATACAGGTAACAGTAAAGTCTGCACTTGAGGTCATAAATAAAGGTCAACACAATAGAAAAAAAATTGTGATCTTGAATAAGTAATGCTTGAAATTTGTAAAACTCATTTGGTTAGTGAAAAAAACAATGAGAATTTTTTTATTTTCTTAACTTTGTATGGGGTAAGGTAAGTGCTGGTTATGAGCACTACTTGTAAAATTAACCACTAGAAATTTTAATAATATGTCTTTAATGAACTATCCCAAGTCTTTTTGCACAATTATAATTCCAATGCACTTTATTAACAAAACACCAACCAAAACAAATCACAGGAATAAGGTTTAACTTTACGTTCTTAATTAGTAAAAAAAGGATTATTGTAAGAACAGAACCACTCTTAAAATGAAAGACTATATACATGTAGCCCATCAAAACCATTAAGAGTTGACCTTCTATTCATGGGAATGTAAATCACAGCAGAAAATGTATTCCTTACATAAATGGTATCTAAAATAAACTCAGTAAGTTATTTGAGTTACGGACACTACATTGATCTTATGTTTATAATTTACTCAATATGAATAACTTTTCATGGGTAACATATTAAGTTTGTGTATTTTCTTTTTATTGTTTACATTTTTTAACAACAGAATGACCCATGATTGAAAATTAATATATGTAATTAAAGTTATTTCCAATGTAAACATACATGACATGTTGACATGGATGGGACCAAGTATATCATTTCAAATCTGAAGTAAACCCTTAAACATATCTAAACAAAGTAGGTGCTATGTACCTAAAGGAATGATAATAAAATATATTTCTGAAAAGAAAATCCTTCGAATTATATTAGATAATTAGAAAAAAAGAAATGCTGATGGTTACGGACACTACACACTGGCTACTTTTTCCAATAATTTTCTAAAAATAACATACTTTTTGTGAATTCAAGGGAAGTCATTTCTACAGAACTTCATAAATAAATAATTTTCTATCATATGACACTACAAGCATTGAAGATAAACCAAAAATAAAGCATACTTTACCTTCAAATATTCTCAAGTTCATTAAATAAACTTTTAAGTGTATTTTATAAAATGTCATATACTAAATTCAAGTGCAGATCTTTAACAAATCTACATGCTAGTATACATGGTATAAATCAACTGGAGGAAGAAAAAACATGAGATTTTGAAAAATGCAAAAGATATTTAATTTTTTTGACCCAGAAAAAAAAAAATCCCAGTGTTACTGCATGACAAATTAGTAGAGTGGGTGGCGCATATTCGCCTTGGACACATTTTTGCCGTTTTGCCTTTTTTCTGTAAGATTTGTGTGCCTTTATCCAAAACTTGCCTAAAAAATGGTAAAGGCTGTTTGTAATGTTACAACTGTTGATATTCCTCTTTGCCCCATTTCCAAGATTATTCGCACATATTGAGAACTACACAGGTGTTTTTAAATGATTTTGGCAATTATGTAAGATTTATATGGCAATCATGCGCAGTCATAAAGTAAATATTTGTGAGAAAAATCGTATAGGAATGATCTCTCAAGCCTATTCATGTAATTGCAAACATTCGTTTTTATAATATACCAGGATAATGAGGATTGTCATATCATACATTGCGGCGAAAATGTGTCCCCCATTGTACACGAACAACTTGATTTCCTCTTGAGTTTTCGTTCGTTTTTACAACAATTAACCAATGTTTTGAAGATAATTTCTTTATCAAACATTGTTTTCATATATCTAAATTTCTGAAACCTTCATAAAAAGTTCCAAATATTCGAATGTAGGTCGGATGTAAGTGGAAATGAACGAATTATGCGGCGAATATGGGTCTCTCACTCTACGTCAAGGAATACTATCAGGTCATATTTTTAAGGGTTATCTGTTTTCATAATTTTTTTAATTTCTAATCAAAAGACAATGACAATGCAGCAAAGTTCACATCATAGAACCTAGAAATTAAGCCTATTTTGATGAAATAAAAATATTTATAATATCATGGTTACAGACAGTACATCATTTTTGTAGTGTCCGTAACCACATTTTCATTTATTCTGGCTAAATTCTAATAAGAAGGCGCAAAATTTTGTTGTTATGTTAGTGTTCAGTGTCAAATCTATAAAGAAAAATAGCTTATTGTTTACTGTAGCTATTCTTTTTAGGAGAATAATAAGCTGGTTACGGACACTACACTTTTTTGAAAAATATTTTTTTCTATTTTGAAAATTTCAAAAATATTCTGTATGAATCATATCATTTATATAACAGTATTTTATTTCAGTACTATTATATTTGAGTATGTTGACATACATATTTAATGAATAATCTTGCAATAAGTTTTATTTTCAGGGCCATAAATGATCAACACTTAATAAATTTAAAAATGTATAGCGAAGCACCACTTTTACAATTCTGCATGTTAATTTTTTAAATTAGCTCAGATTATTGTAATGTTGGAATCATTTTAATCCCCATTTGATAATCTGTAAATGATAACATCAATCAGCGAAATGATCATTACACTTACAGTTAAAAAGATTTTAAAGAAAAAATAATGTTTGAAGCGCAACCGCATAATGTCTGAATATGACCTTTTTTGGACCACTAATCTCACCGGTGTTCAAAAACTATTCAAGATAGAATCTTAAAATTTTGAATGAGGTTAAAACATTCAATGTCAAATATTAAAAACAGAAAACTGGCATCTGATGTATTTAAGTTAGCTGTAGAGCTTACATATAACAAAGACCAATTGTAAATGTCCCCATTATTGTGTTTCACCCGAGTGCAGTCCAGGTCAAAGTTACTTGGTGACTTCTGACACTAACAGGGGAACTTCGTGTCATCTGATACCATCAAGGTTACTTAAAGTGTCATCTAGCAATATCAAGGTTACATTTTTTATGTACTCAATGTCATCTGACACTATTGAGGTTACTTTATGTCATTTGACACTATAAAGGTGACACTATCAAGGTTACTAAGTGTCATCTGACACTTCTAGGTTACTAAATGGCATCTGACACTATCAAGGTTACTAAATGTCATCTGACACTATCAAGGTTACTAAATGTCATCTGACACTATCAAGATTTCTTAGTGCACGTGTCATCTGACACTATAAAGGTTACTAAGCATACACTGACACTATCAAGGTTACTAAATGTCATCTTACACTATCAAGGTTACTAAATGTCATCTGACACCATCAAGGTTGCTAAATTTCATCTGACACTATCAAGGTTACTAAAAATCATCTGACACTATCAAGGTTACTTTGTGTTATCAGGCACTGTCAGTATCAGACATGTCAATTAACATTTAACTTTGTACAGTTTGGATTTTTTTAAATGGCATTCAAGACACCACAGATCATTTGTTTTCCTGTCCTCATATAAATATCAAGATCTAACAATCATGTAAAAATATTAAGGCAAAGGATAGTTATTTGTATAATATTTTGATATTCTTTTCATATTATTTAATAAAAGACATTTAACACTGGTTGTTTTATATTCAAAATGCTACAGATGAATTCAGAAAATTTAAAGGTTTATTACCACAATGTTGCTTTCAACAGGATTTTTTTTTATATAGCTCAAAAAATATAAATATGATTAATTGGAAAGTCAATACAGCAGCAACCCAACAAAACCTTACAACAGATATGACTGTGAATAAATGGAAGGTCAATGAGACAGCAGCCCAACAAAACCCTTCAACAAATATGACTATAACAAAACCCTTCAACAAATATGACTATTAAATACCTGCACAGTGCAGCTACTGACAGGGTGACTACTACCTTTAACAATGAACTAAATAAGTAGCTGTGCAAGGAGCAAATGATATGCCTCTCTTTTGCATATTGGAATTGTTGCAAGAATAAAATGGAATACAGTTAATTAAGAAGGCATCTCATCAGATGTTAGCAAAATTGCTCTGCAGAAAAACTTGCATAAGGATATCCTTCACTGTATGAATATGACTGTTAAAAAGTAACTAATAACTCTTGGACAACCAGAAATTTTTCAAAATGAAAAGCAAGCCTATATTCATGAATCCCAACCTCAGAGTAAAGTTTGTATTCCAATATGACACTCTTGTAAACATCATTATAATAATCCTCTCCTGTCACTGAATACGGATACATCAGATATTTACTGTAACCATGGAGACACTTACATCATATATTTACTGTTACCATGGAGATACTTACATCATTATTGGGATCTTCTCCTGTCACTGAGTAAGGATACATCATATATTTACTGTTACCATGGAGATACTTACATCATTATTGGGATCTTCTCCTGTCACTGAGTAAGGATACATCATATATTTACTGTTACCATGGAGATACTTACATCATTATTGGGATCTTCTCCTAGGCCTGTCACTGAGGAAGGATACATCATATATTTACTGTTACCATGGAGATACTTACATCATTATTGGGATCTTCTCCTAGGCCTGTCACTGAGGAAGGATACATCATATATTTACTGTTACCATGGAGATACTTACATCATTATTGGGATCTTCTCCTGTCACTGAGGAAGGATACATCATATATTTACTGTTACCATGGAGATACTTACATCATTATTGGGATCTTCTCCTAGGCCTGTCACTGAGGAAGGATACATCATATATTTACTGTTACCATGGAGATACTTACATCATTATTGGGATCTTCTCCTGTCACTGAGGAAGGATACATCATATATTTACTGTTACCATGGAGATACTTACATCATTATTGGGATCTTCTCCTGTCACTGAGTAAGGATACATCATATATTTACTGTAACCATGGAGATACTTACATCATTATTGGGATCTTCTCCTGTCACTGAGTAAGGATACATCAGATATTTCCCATCACCAAAGTATGATGATGGAGCACAATCCCCAGATGTTGGATCATGTTCACTTCCCCAGTTATGCCCTGTAAAGAAAATGAGGACAACGATAAAACAGTCAAGTTCCTGCAAATATCATTCTGACTTCATTAGAATTGACTTCATATTAATTTCATTTGTTTATCGTGCATGCATTCCAACATATTAGTTCAATGATAGAGTATGCATTCAACATTTTTCGTCTTAAAAAATGGTTGTTTTAATAAAGGATTTTTACTTCTTTTGAAATTTAAATGTCTTTTTACTTCTTTTATGTATGTTTATTTCATTGCCTGTAATTTTTGAAAATAATTGACACAACTGTTTATAAAGAAATAGGCATTTTTTTTTTATTAGTAAAAATCTTAACATGCAATAGATATGGAAAAGAAAGAAATATATATATAAATTATATATTTGTTCTATTTAACAAATTTGAAAGATTTTCAGTTTAAAACTAAACATCTTTACTTACCAATTTCTGTATCCACAAAAAGTTCAGCACAGACATGAAAATAGATATTTAAAACATGATTGTAAGAAAGAATCTTCTATAAAATACACAGTTGTGGCTTTTAATGACTATTAACAACTTTTTATCAAGATCTCAACTTTCTCAAATTATTAAAGGAATTAGAGGTTTAATAATTTCAGCAACTATTGACCATTGATTTACATAATGTTGTATGAAGGTGTGTTTTGTTTTATGTTATAACAACAAGAGTGCACATCTGAAATGTCTCGCCCGCTTCACTTATAAATCATGATTGAATTTATGTTGAATGCCTTTGATAATGAAGGTTTTACTTCAAGAATATACAAAAACTTAATGTTATCAATGATCCAGGTAAATGAGATCAAGGTCATGAGATCAAGTGAACCCTGCCAGATAGACATGTACACCTAAAAATCAGACCATGTACCAAATATAGTCAGTGTATTGCTAATGGTATCTGAGAAACAGACAAATTAAAGAAAAATGAACACTGACCAATGATCAACAAAAATGATGTTAAGGTCAGATGAACCCTGCCAGACGGAATGTACACCATTCAACTATTCCATGTATACCAAATTTAGTGGAAAAGAAACATAAGATATCTTTATACAAGGTATGAAGCATCCAGGTCTTCTACCTTCTGAAATATAAAGCTTTAAACAAATAGTTTGAGCCGTCACACCTCCGTCCCAACACACCCCTACCGCTGGATTGTAATCCCTAGATGTCTTTCATTCTGCGACAGGCAAGACAATAAACCAAGCATGAAAAGAGGTTTCAAGGACAGATGAAACTTAAGACACACATATACACCTTACAATCATTCCATACAATGAATATAGTGGCAATATTATATTGCATATAGTATTCGAGAAATAGACTAAAAAAAACCAACTTAACATTGTCAAATGAATAATGAAAATAGGCCAAGGTCAGATGAAACCTGTCAAGGATAATGGACATATGACAAACAGAAACTTTGTAACATAAGGCATCTGCATAAAAGGTATGAGGCATCCAGGTCTTCTACTCTCTGAAATATAAAGTTTTATACAATAGTTTTCGCTGTCGGCCCTGCCAACTGATAGTAATCCCTATGTCTTGCAATGGCGCATTCTGCAACTTTCGTAGCATGCTATAAAAAAAAAGAGGCTGAATATAACAAAGGGACATTCAAAACTTATAAGGTGAAGAGAAAATGACAAAGCCATCGCAAAAAACAACAAGAATGTGTCCATAGTACACGGATGCCCCACTCGAACTATCATTTTCTATGTTCAGTGGACAGTGAAATTGGGGTCAAAAAGATCATTTCATAGGGAACATGTGTACTAAGTTTCAAGTTGATTGGACTTCAACTTCATCAAAAACAACCTTGACCAAAAACTTTAACCTGAAGCGGGACAGACGGACGGACAGACGAATGAACGAACAAACGATCAGATGCACAAAGCAGAAAACATAATGATCCTACTACTAACGTAGGTGGGGCATAAAAAACAAAGATGTATGTTCACTTATGACACTCCTGCTATAAGTATATTGATATCAGATTGATAATTATAAAAACACATCATACAGTATTTTAAGCATGCTCACATGAAAATTTTAACAAGTATATTGAAGCATTTAGTTACAAACAAGTAAACTTATTTACAGACAAGGTTTTTTTTTTACTTTAAGAGTGAAAATAAGACATATACTGCCAGTGAAGGAAGAATGTAAATAAAAATCTCACAATTATAAAACCTATGACATATCTGACATGGACACTCTGAGGTTCCATTTATTTGTTAAAAAAAATAGGTGAACTTGATTCATCATTATAAGCAAATGATAGAGTTGGTTAGTGCATTGGTGAAATTCATGCTTTATGAATGAGCTAAGTTACACCATGATCAAACTGAACTAATAAAAATTGAACAAACATAAAAATGCAACATGTGCAAATCCACGTCATTTGGAGTCTGCTGGAAAGTCCTCATTGGCAATCATTACCTAATTTTATAAATGCTTTTCAATGTAAAACATGACCATTAAACTTACCGTGAGCAGTAACAAGTTGTGACTGTTTAGCCAATACTGTACCTCCACCAGTGTACTTTGTGGTTGTTAGACCTGTATTGTAATAGATGGGCTTTCCATTCTTTGTTGAAGCTGAAATAAAAGTTGTAACTTCATTTTGTGTGAAGGTTTGTCTCTTAATTGTAAACAAGAAATTGCAGTCTACTGTTATCCAGTTCAATGTTAAATACATGTATGAAAGTTCAAAAACTTGTGTTAAAGTGTATAAATATCGAACTGTGAGCTGTTGCTCATTCTAATATGAAGCTCTTCTTTTGCTTTATAAACAAAGTCATGTTGTAATATCAATAGAACATGGGGATCATGTGCCTGACCTCACAATCAAAAGCGCAATATCAACTGTATTTAAGTAAATAAACCATTTTTTAAGATGTATTGGTCACTGCATGGCCTTCTTCAGTTTCTTTATTATCTTTCTTAACTTCATGGTAGAGATTTTACTTTCACAATTTAGGTTAGGGGGAAGGTTGGGATCCCGCTAACATGTTTAACCCCGCCGCATTCTGTATGTGTGTGCCTGTCCCAAATCAGGAGCCTGTAATTCAGTGGTTGTCGTTTGTTTATGTGTTACATATTTGTTTTTCGTTTATTTTTTGTACATAAATTAGGCCGTTAGTTTTCTCGTTTGAATTGTTTTACATTTGTGTTTTCGGGGCCTTTTAATTTATAGTTGACTATGCAGTATGGGCTTTGCCCATTGTTGAAGGCTGTTCAGTGACCTATAGCTGTTAATTTCTGTGTCATTTGGTCTCTTGTGAAGAGTTGTCTCATTGGCAATCATACCACATATTCTTTTTTATATATAGCACACATGTAAGTACCAAATAAATAATTTACCACAATTTTTCACTATATGTATAATACTTCAAATAAATATTTATTTGGTACTTGAATATGCTTTGTGTTTCTGCATTGGAAGTATGTGCCAAAATATGCAATTTTTGCATTTTTCAGTACAAAATCAAATTTATGCTTCATTACAACTGCAAAATCTCAGTAAATATTCATAATGTTTGAAATTCCTTTCAGTTTAAACTTTGCATATGCATATTAATCATCTTAATGCCAAATTAAATAACCTCATTTTGTATTATTTCGAATTTTAGGCCGAATATGCCCCTTAGGACACATTCTTTTTTAAATAGCTTAATTTGTTAGTAAAATTAAAGGAAGATACGCTAAAAATAATTTACAGAAAAGTTGACAGAAATTAATAGGACAGCATATTTAAAGACCACCAAGGCAAATTAAATACCAGAGTTAACAAAGGTACATATTAAATCTTATATCCTATTCATAATCTGAGGATAAACAAGTGAAACTGCGAGCTACTGCTCACTGATGATACCCCCCCCAAATATGCATTTTCAACTACTTGGATGTCATGAGTAAAATGATGTAAGTGTTCGGTAAACAGGAAGTTGTTGAGTGATGAATCTGAAAATGCATCACACGGTATAGCTGACTTAATATATAAACCCTAAAACCAAAATTTCAGAAATCCTTATGATGTACTTCCTGAGAAAGATGAGAAGAAAAATATTCATGGAACGAATGGACGGACGGACAGACACACAGTACTTTTTTAAAACTGGGGTATAATTAGACATACCTGCAGAACAGATTCCACCAAGTTTTGATGTACTAGAGCTAGCTATGTAGGCTAGACCTAAGACATTGTTAGAAAAACTTTGATGGGTGAAGAGATGAGCTAAGCAATAATCATTCCACTTGTCACCTTGGCTAAATTCCTAAAAAAATAAACAATGGGTGAAGAGATGAGCTAAGCAATAATCATTCCACTTGTCACCTTGGCTAAATTCCTAAAAAATAAACAATGTGAATAATGTTTTATATAGAAATGACATTTTGCCTGTAAAAATTATGAACTTAGTCTGGGAAAACATGATTTACTTATTAGTTGTAATAAGCTTTGAACTATCTTTCAGTAATTGTGAGTTCACTTATTACTGTGCTTTGTGTCTATTGTTTTTATGTTAGTTGTTTTTGTACCTTGAACCTGTCGTTTGGGTTAAGCCAATTGTCCAAGTTTCATTACATTCCATGAAGGTCTTTGATGTCTGCATTTTTTTTTTATCTAAGACTGTTTGTACATGTTAATCACAAAAAAAACAAAGGATGCTGCCAAGAGCCTGAATTGCTAACCTTATAAAGAATGCCATTTTGATATTTATTTTATTTTATTGCAAGCAGTTGTTTGTATATTTGTAAATCTTATTCAGTTACATTTTTGTATATCTTGTATTGATGATCATTTTAACTGTTTACAGTTTATACCTACCAGCATCCATTAAAGTTTTTGAAATAATTGGCTAAATTATAAAATGTTTTTACAAAGTGAGCAATTCAGGCTCTTGAAAGCCTCTTGGTTTTTTCTGTAAAATATCGTAATTTAAGGTTAATAAATCCTGACAATCTGGCCGTTTGACTTACTTGCATAAACTATTTTGCTTTTTAAAGTTTCTATCCATCAACTAACAATAGGCACTATAGTTTTTAAAAACAAAATGCATGAAAAAAAGGGTAGAAATCATCACTTTGGGGAAACAACAGTGCTTTAATGAGTCTGTTCACAATTTCAACCATGTCGACTGATTTGTAGATCTTATTGTGGTAAACATTATTGCAATTTACTGTTCCTCTCTATTTATTATAGTTTCTGTCTTCTACAAACATGGATGAAGGTCATCTTTCAAAGCCTAGGGCAATTACTCCTCTTGAAGATTTCAACCATGTTAACTTATTGCGGATCATATTTTACTGATAAGTTTTACTATAAACTGGTGAACTCAATATATCATGGTTTCAGCTAAAAATTCTTATCAATATATGGGTAAAAATTATCTTTCTGGAGCAAAAACTTCTTTAATGAGTCAGTTGACAATTTTGGCTAAGTTTGACTAGTTTATTAGTAGTTATTATTGTTAATAACCCTTTTCCTAAATACGATTTCTCTTAATTTACAATGCTTTTTTAAAATAATGCAAAAAAAGGGAACAAATCATCATTCAAAGGCAATAACCCCTTTATAGTGGATCGATTGATGTTTTCTGCCTACATGTAATTGACTTATTTGCAGATTTCCTTGTTCTGGTCATTTTTACTTTTCAAATTTTTTCTCTATCTGTTATAGTTTTCAAGATAGTAACCAAAACTTCTAACAAGAGTGCACACGCTGAAATGTCTCGCCTTCTTTACTAATCATTGATATTATGTTGATAGTCCTAAATATAAAGCTTTATTACAACTGTCACATAAACTTAACATTAACCAAGTAAACTAAACATTGACCAATGAACCATGAAAATGAGGTCAAGGTCAGATGAACCATGCTAGGCAGGCATGTACAGCTAACAATTCTTCCATACAACAAATATAGTTGACCTATTGCTTATAGTTTAAGAAAAACAGATGAAAACACAAAAACTTAACATTGAGCAATGAACCTTGAAAATGAGGTCAAGGTCAAATAAAACCTGCGTGACTGACATATAGATCATAAAATATTTCCATTCACCAAATATAGTTGAACTATTGCATATAGTATTAGAAAAAAAGACCAAAACTCAAAAACTTAACTTTGACCACTGAACCATGAAAATGAGGTCAAGGTAAGATGACACCTGCCAGCTAGACATGTACACCTTACAATCATTCCATACACCAAATATAGCTGACCTATTGCATGCAGTATTAGAAAGAAAGACCAAAACTCAAAAACTTAACTTTGACCACTGAACCATGAAAATGAGGTCAAGGTCAGATGACACCTGCCAGCTAGACATGTACACCTTACAATCATTCCATACAACAAATATAGTAGACCTATTGCATACAGTATAAGAAAAACAGACCAAAACACAACAAGAGTGCACACGCTGAAATGTCTCGCCTTCTTTACTAATCATTGATATTATGTTGATAGTCCTAAATATAAAGCTTTATTACAACTGTCACATAAACTTAACATTAACCAAGTAAACTAAACATTGACCAATGAACCATGAAAATGAGGTCAAGGTCAGATGAACCATGCTAGGCAGGCATGTACAGCTAACAATTCTTCCATACAACAAATAGAGTTGACCTATTGCTTATAGTTTAAGAAAAACAGACCAAAACACAAAAACTTAACACTGAGCAATGAACCTTGAAAATGAGGTCAAGGTCAGATGACACCTGCCAGTTGGACATGTACACCTTACAGTCCTTCCATACACCAAATATACAAGACTTATTGCTTATAGTATCTGAGATATGGACTTGACCACCAAAACTTAACCTTGTTCATTGATCCATGAAATGAGGTCGAGGTCAAGTGAAAACTGTCTGACGGGCATGAGGACCTTGCAAGGTACGCACATACCAAATATAGTTGAACTATTGCACATAGTATTAGAAAAAAAGACCAAAACTCAAAAACTTAACTTTGACCACTGAACCATGAAAATGAGGTCAAGGTCAAATGACACCTGCCCGCTAGACATGTACACCTTACAATCATTCCATACACCAAATATAGTAGACCTATGGCATACAGTATAAGAAAAACAGACCAAAACACAAAAACTTAACGATAACCACTGAACCATGAAAATGAGGTCAAGGTCAGATGACACCTGCCAGTTGGACATGTACACCTTACAGTCCTTCCATACACCGAATATACTACACCTATTTCTTATAGTATCTGAGATATGGACTTGACCACCAAAACTTAACCTTGTTCACTGATCCATTAAATGAGGTCGAGGTCAAGTGAAAACTGTCTGACGGGCATGAGGACCTTGCAAGGTACGCACATACCAAATATAGTTGAACTATTGCACATAGTATTAGAAAAAAAGACCAAAACTCAAAAACTTAACTTTGACCACTGAACCATGAAAATGAGGTCAAGGTCAAATGACACCTGCCCGCTAGACATGTACACCTTACAATCATTCCATACACCAAATATAGTAGACCTATGGCATACAGTATAAGAAAAACAGACCAAAACACAAAAACTTAACTATAACCACTGAACCATGAAAATTAGGTCAAGGTCAGATGACACCTGCCAGTTGGACATGTTCACCTTACAGTCCTTCCATACACCGAATATAATAGACCTATTGCTTATAGTATCTGAGATATGGACTTGACCACCAAAACTTAACCTTGTTCACTGATCCATGAAATGAGGTCGAGGTCAAGTGAAAACTGTCTGACGGGCATGAGGACCTTGCAAGGTACGCACATACCAAATATAGTTATCCTATTACTTATAATAAGAGAGAATCTAACATTACAAAAAATCTTAACTTTTTTTTCAAGTAGTCACTGAACCATGAAAATGAGGTCAAGGACATTGGACATGTGACTGACGGAAACTTCGTAACATGAGGCATCCATATACAAAGTATGAAGCATCCAGACCTTCCACCTTCTAAAATATAAAGCTTTTAAGAAGTTAGCTAACGCCGCCGCCGCCGCCGCCGCCGCCGCCGCCGCCGCCGCCGCCGGATCACTATCCCTATGTCGAGCTTTCTGCGACAAAAGTCGCAGGCTCGACAAAAACTTAACTATAACCACTGAACCATGAAAATGAGGTCAAGGTCAGATGACACCTGCCAGTTGGACATGTACACCTTACAGTCCTTCCATACACCGAATATACTAGACCTATTGCTTATAGTATCTGAGATATGGACTTGACCACCAAAACTTAACCTTGTTCACTGATCCATGAAATGAGGTCGAGGTCAAGTGAAAACTGTCTGACGGGCATGAGGACCTTGCAAGGTACGCACATACCAAATATAGTTATCCTATTACTTATAATAAGAGAGAATTTAACATTACAAAAAATCTGAACTTTTTTTTCAAGTAGTCACTGAACCATGAAAATGAGGTCAAGGACATTGGACATGTGACTGACGGAAACTTCGTAACATGAGGCATCCATATACAAAGTATGAAGCATCCAGGTCTTCCATCTTCTAAAATATAAAGCTTTTAAGAAGTTAGCTAACGCCGCCGCCGCCGCCGCCGCCGCCGCCGCAGCCGCCGGATCGCTATCCCTATGTCGAGCTTTCTGCGACATAAGTCGCAGGCTCGACAAAAATAAGAAAAAATTGACATTTCAGGGGCCATCATTACCCATGTTAACAAAGGCAGTGTCTGCGTGACCCCGGATGCGGGGACAAGTAGCCAAATTGGCCTTCATAGGCTACACGTACCTGTGTCCTCTTTTATAATAAAATGTTATCGGATCGGGAATGAAACGTGACATACACACAGTAATTTGGGGATTTTGTAATTGCAGTGAAGAAAATGGCAACTTATAATTTTAAATTTGTATTATTAGTTAACAAGAGTGCACACGCTGAAATGTCTCGCCTTCTTTACTAATCATTGATATTATGTTGATAGTCCTAAATATAAAGCTTTATTACAACTGTCACATAAACTTAACATTAACCAAGTAAACTAAACATTGACCAATGAACCATGAAAATGAGGTCAAGGTCAGATGAACCATGCTAGGCAGGCATGTACAGCTAACAATTCTTCCATACAACAAATATAGTTGACCTATTGCATATAGTATTAGAAAAAAAGACCAAAACTCAAAAACTTAACTTTGACCACTGAACCATGAAAATGAGGTCAAGGTAAGATGACACCTGCCAGCTAGACATGTACACCTTACAATCATTCCATACACCAAATATAGCTGACCTATTGCATGCAGTATTAGAAAAAAAGACCAAAACTCAAAAACTTAACTTTGACCACTGAACCATGAAAATGAGGTCAAGGTCAGATGACACCTGCCAGCTAGACATGTACACTTTACAATCATTCCATACACCAAATATAGTAGACCTATTGCATACAGTATAAGAAAAACAGACCAAAACACAAAAACTTAACTATAACCACTGAACCATGAAAATGAGGTCAAGGTCAGATGACACCTGCCAGTTGGACATGTACACCTTACAGTCCTTCCATACACCGAATATACTAGACCTATTGCTTATAGTATCTGAGATATGGACTTGACCACCAAAACTTAACCTTGTTCACTGATCCATGAAATGAGGTCGAGGTCAAGTGAAAACTGTCTGACGGGCATGAGGACCTTGCAAGGTACGCACATACCAAATATAGTTATCCTATTACTTATAATAAGAGAGAATTTAACATTACAAAAAATCTGAACTTTTTTTTCAAGTAGTCACTGAACCATGAAAATGAGGTCAAGGACATTGGACATGTGACTGACGGAAACTTCGTAACATGAGGCATCCATATACAAAGTATGAAGCATCCAGGTCTTCCATCTTCTAAAATATAAAGCTTTTAAGAAGTTAGCTAACGCCGCCGCCGCCGCCGCCGCCGCCGCCGCAGCCGCCGGATCGCTATCCCTATGTCGAGCTTTCTGCGACATAAGTCGCAGGCTCGACAAAAATAAGAAAAAATTGACATTTCAGGGGCCATCATTACCCATGTTAACAAAGGCAGTGTCTGCGTGACCCCGGATGCGGGGACAAGTAGCCAAATTGGCCTTCATAGGCTACACGTACCTGTGTCCTCTTTTATAATAAAATGTTATCGGATCGGGAATGAAACGTGACATACACACAGTAATTTGGGGATTTTGTAATTGCAGTGAAGAAAATGGCAACTTATAATTTTAAATTTGTATTATTAGTTAACAAGAGTGCACACGCTGAAATGTCTCGCCTTCTTTACTAATCATTGATATTATGTTGATAGTCCTAAATATAAAGCTTTATTACAACTGTCACATAAACTTAACATTAACCAAGTAAACTAAACATTGACCAATGAACCATGAAAATGAGGTCAAGGTCAGATGAACCATGCTAGGCAGGCATGTACAGCTAACAATTCTTCCATACAACAAATATAGTTGACCTATTGCATATAGTATTAGAAAAAAAGACCAAAACTCAAAAACTTAACTTTGACCACTGAACCATGAAAATGAGGTCAAGGTAAGATGACACCTGCCAGCTAGACATGTACACCTTACAATCATTCCATACACCAAATATAGCTGACCTATTGCATGCAGTATTAGAAAAAAAGACCAAAACTCAAAAACTTAACTTTGACCACTGAACCATGAAAATGAGGTCAAGGTCAGATGACACCTGCCAGCTAGACATGTACACTTTACAATCATTCCATACACCAAATATAGTAGACCTATTGCATACAGTATAAGAAAAACAGACCAAAACACAAAAACTTAACTATAACCACTGAACCATGAAAATGAGGTCAAGGTCAGATGACACCTGCCAGTTGGACATGTACACCTTACAGTCCTTCCATACACCGAATATACTAGACCTATTGCTTATAGTATCTGAGATATGGACTTGACCACCAAAACTTAACCTTGTTCACTGATCCATGAAATGAGGTCGAGGTCAAGTGAAAACTGTCTGACAGGCATGAGGACCTTGCAAGGTACGCACATACCAAATATAGTTATCCTATTACTTATAATAAGAGAGAATTTAACATTACAAAAAATCTGAACTTTTTTTTCAAGTAGTCACTGAACCATGAAAATGAGGTCAAGGACATTGGACATGTGACTGACTGAAACTTCGTAACATGAGGCATCCATATACAAAGTATGAAGCATCCAGGTCTTCCATCTTCTAAAATATAAAGTTTTTAAGAAGTTAGCTAACGCTGCCGCCGCCGCCGGATCGCTATCCCTATGTCGAGCTTTCTGCGACAAAAGTCGCAGGCTCGACAAAAATATAATTTTGTATTTTGTATTTCCATATTTATAATTTGTCTGATGGCAGTTTAGATTACCAACTTATTACAACTGTTATTATTTTATATGATGTTTATGTTTTTCCAATGATATATCTATTGTGGTCCAGGGCCATATATTTACAATAACATGTGTTACACTGTAGTGTAAACATTCAGAAAGTATTCTTGGAATTGAATGGTTTTTTGATTCACAGAACTGCATGACAAAAACTCATTATGTGTATCAAATTTCATTTGGGTATCCTATATCAAACACAAGTATATAAGTGTATATTACTTAAATATTGAAATATTGTGTCCAGAATTACTTCCCTTTGAATACATCATGAATCTAACAATAATGTACAGAATCTCTGTTCTTACATTGGTTTCGTATGGAGGGATTATAATGGGATCATGTGACATAAAGCTAGGTAATAATTTTATGAATTTTCATAAACAACTTTTGAAGTAACACATAGGTTCAAGATCAAAATAAGGAGTTTGTCCACTGTATATATCCTGTATCAAGTAGATTCAATTTAAATTAGCAAAAAAGACTCAATCATAATAATAAACATTAGATATGCAAAGAAATCTCATATTTATAAAGCAATACCACCAAAAGTCAAAAATGTATCTTTTGTTAGAAGGAGATGTGATAAGTCATTACTAAGACTCCTAAAATTGCAAAAACAATGAAATATTTAAGCTTTTAAAAACAATTGAAACTTTGAGCTACTGCTCACTGATGATACCCCCAGCCCACATACTGTAAACCAACTTATTTTCGCGGATACTTTATTTCGCGTTTAGCCCTTATTAGCCCATTTCGTGGTGATTTAATTTCGTGATTTTCAAATCTGCTTGATGTATAGTTAAATAAGGAAACTTCCAAGTTTTACATATTTGCGACGATTTATATTCGCGTTCTTTTTCTACTCGCGAAAGTTACGAAAATAAATTGCTCCTGAAAATTAGTTGGTTTACAGCACTTGATGGTAAACAGGACGTTGTTGAGTGATGAATCTGAAAACAAAACGCATCACACAGTATAGCTGACTTATATAAACACTGAAACCAAATTTCAGAAATCCTAGATTATTAAAATATTATTATTAGAAACTATAATAAATAGAGAGGAACAGTAAATTGCAATAATGTTTACCACAATAAGATCTAGGTGTAGTTCCTGAGAAAGATGGAACAAAAATATTAATGGGACGGACCGACGGACTGACGAATGGATGAACGGACGGACTGACGGATGGACTGATGGATGGACTGACAGACAGAGGTAAATCAGTATACCCCCACTTTTTTAAAGCGGGGGTATAATTATGTTAATGCTTTTATATAAATTAACAGGTTGATATAATATGTACACTTCAGTGCAGAAAAGTTACTGTCATAAACATGTTGAAATTAATACAGTTTGACCAAAAAAGGGCCTTATAGCTATCTGCTCAAAATAGATACATGTTGTATGAACCAAATTCTTACCCAAAAATATATTTTACACACATCAGCATCTTTGTAAAATACATCTTGAATTACAATATCTTTTTTAAGAATTATTATTGGCGTTTTCAAACAAATCTTAAAACTTGCTGTCAACTTCTGGAGCACCTGACATCATCCAAGGTTTTTAACTGGGTTCATGTTGCTCAGTCTTTAGTTTTATAATTTCAGAAAGTTCATTTATAAAGAATTTATTAGAAATGGTTTTAAAAAAAGATTCAGGTAAGATTCTATCCAATATTTAATATATTTCAATCCAGGTAATTTAAAACGTATTGATAATTGCTACAATAATAATATCCTGTAACATGCAAAGAGCTTAGCAACAGTAAAACATAATTAAGGCATCCATTTCAACGGTAGATGGCAGTGTATGGACAAACAGACACCTCCTCAAACAGAAACATAGTGTTATTGTTATACCTAGCCTTTTTCAACTGGTTTTTATAGTTTGTTCTTATGGTATGCTGTTTCGCCACTGTCCCAGGTTAGGGGAGGGTTGAGCGCTCACAAATATGTTTAACCCCGCCACATTCTTTATGTGCCTGTCCGAAGTCAGGAGTCTGTAGTTCAGTGATTGTCATTGGTTCATGTCGGTCATATTTGTCTTTTGTAAATTGTTTTGTTATAAATCTGACAGTTAGTTTTCTCAATTGAATTGTTTCATTTTTTTTATGTCAGGGCCTTTTATAGCTGACCATACGGTATGGGTTTTTCTCATTGTAGAAGGCCGTACTGTTGTCTATAATTGCTTACATCCACTTTATTTGAACTTTGGTGGATAGTTGTCTCATTGGCAATCATAGCTCATCTCCTTATTTTTATACTACCAAAAGGTTTTTTGGGGTGATAATTATAAGGTATTGTGATGGCATAAAGTTTTAGCAGCTAGACATTTATCAACCAATAATTATTTGATATTTTTTTGTTTATTAACAATTACTTGACCCATTATTTTTACTATTATACATTTACAATTTGTAAACGGTTTACTTAATTTTTTTCTTTTTTGCAAACCGGTTAATTACTTGTTTTGTGTTGTTACATACACTTTGCATAAGAAATATATTAACAAATTACTTTTGAAATATATACATGTATTACAATCAATATTATCTTTTGTTAGATAAATGCTGTATGTTGCCCAGCGGAAAAAAAACTCCTGCTTTTTCAGCTGTATTGACACATAAACAATATGGTTCAGCAAATGAAGTTATAAAGTTCAATAAAGTATACACAAATATAGGAAAAGGCTACAACCCAAGCACCGGTATCTTTACCGCACCAATTACTGGAGTATACCAATTTTCGTCAGTGGTTATGAGTGACAAAGGGCAATACTTGATTGCAAGCCTGTGGCACAATGCCACCCGAGTATCAAGTGTGCATATAAAAACTGTATCTTATCAAACAGGGGCACTGAGCATGGTTTTGGATTTAAAGAAAGGTGATCAAATTGCAGTAAAGTCCTACGGCAGTTACACCATCTATAGTGACATTAATAATTACTGCTCCTTTTCAGGGTTTGTTATTTCTCAATAAATAAAATAAAACAAGAGTGCACACGCTGAAATGTCTCGCCTTCTTTACTAATCATTGATATTATGTTGATAGTCCTAAATATAAAGCTTTATTAAAACTGTCACATAAACTTAACATTAACCAAGTAAACTAAACATTGACCAATGAACCATGAAAATGAGGTCAAGGTCAGATGAACCATGCTAGACAGGCATGTACAGCTAACAATTATTCCATACAACAAATATAGTTGACCTATTGCTTAAAGTTTAAAAAAAACAGACCAAAACACAAAAACTTAACACTGAGCAATGAACCTTGAAAATGAGGTCAAGGTCAAATAAAACCTGTGTGACTGACAAATAGATCATAAAATATTTCCATACACCAAATATAGTTGAACTATTGCATATAGTATAAGAAAAACGGACCAAAACACAAAAACTTAACTATAACCACTGAACCATGAAAATGAGGTCAAGGTCAGATGACACCTGCCCGCTAGACATGTTCACCTTACAATCATTCCATACACCAAATATAGTAGACCTATTGCATACAGTATAAGAAAAACAGACCAAAACACAAAAACTTAACTATAACCACTGAACCATGAAAATGAGGTCAAGGTCAGGTGACACCTGCCAGTTGGACATGTACACCTTACAGTCCTTCCATACACTGAATATACTAGACCTATTGCTTATAGTATCTGAGATATGGACTTGACCACCAAAACTTAACCTTGTTCACTGATCCATGAAATGAGGTCAAGGTCAAGTGAAAACTGTCTGACGGGCATGAGGACCTTGCAAGGTACGCACATACCAAATATAGTTATCCTATTACTTATGATAAGAGAGAATTTAACATTACAAAAAAACTTAACTTTTTTTTCAAGTAGTCACTGAACCATGAAAATGAGGTCAAGGACATTGGACATGTGACTGACGGAAACTTCGTAACATGAGGCATCCATATACAAAGAATGAAGCATCCAGACCTTCCACCTTCTAAAATATAAAGCTTTTAAGAAGTTAGCTAATGCCGCCGCCACCGGATCACTATCCCTATGTCGAGCTTTCTGCGACAAAAGTCGCAGGCTCGACAACAATTGACTTTCTGCTGAATTTAGGGGCAGATCATACCTATATTTATTGTTTTGGGTAAATATACTGTAACATGTACAAAACTTAAGATATTCTACATTTTACCAACAATTTAGTAAATGATTGTTAATGTTGTAGCTTTATATCTAATCCAGGACTAAAATCACTTGACAATATCATGTTGTAGCACTGAGTATTAACACCAAACAAAATACTTACTGTCAACAAATTATAAGGGCTAGTCCATGACTTGATCATGTTGTAGCACTGAGTATCAACACCAAACACAATACTTACTGTCAACAAGTTATAAGGGCTAGTCCATGACTTGATCATGTTGTAGCACTGAGTATCAACACCAAACAAAATACTTACAGTCAACAAATTATAAGGACTAGTCCATGACTTGATCATGTTGTAGCTCTGAGTATCAACACCAAACAAAATACTTACTGTCAACAAATCATAACGGCTAGTCCATGACTTGATCATGTTGTAGCACTGAGTATCAACACCAAACAAAATACTTACAGTCAACAAATCATAAGGGCTAGTCCATGACTTGATCATGTTGTAGCACTGAGTATCAACACCAAACAAAATACTTACTGTCAACAAATCATAAGGGCTAGTCCATGACTTGATCATGTTGTAGCACTGAGTATCAACACCAAACAAAATACTGTCAACAAATCATAAGGGCTAGTCCATGACTTGATCATGTTGTAGCACTGAGTATCAACACCAAACAAAATACTTACTGTCAACAAATCATAAGGGCTAGTCCATGACTTGATCATGTTATAGCACTGAGTATCAACACCAAACAAAATACTTACTGTCAACAAATCATAAGGGCTAGTCCATGACTTGATCATGTTGTAGTCAGTTGTGCTACCAGATGTAGGTGTTGGTCCTTCATGTAACTTCAGCTGTAATAAGATACAAAACCAATATAATCGATTAATTGTTAGTGTTTATAATGCCACTTTCAGGCCTATTGGCTTTTTTTGCGGTCATTTTTTTTTGGTGGAGAAAGCCAGTCTCCAAAGAAACCACAAACCTCTGGCAGGAAAGTTGACAATCCTGGATAATAAAGTATGGTATTCTAACATACCTGCCACATGAGGGGTTCAAAATGATAACCTCAGTATTGACTGGCTAGTGATACAGTAGATAAAATGACAACCTGCGTGTTGACTGGCTAGTGATACAGTAGATAAACTATTTAGAACCACTCTGCCACCGAGGCCACTACAAGAAATATATAATGGACTACATGGTATTATATAAGGGGGAGAGGGTGTTACATTTACTGAAGCTTGCTGAAAACTTCTTTTGGCCAATTGTTAGGGACTTTCAATTTTGAATTTTCCTTGGAGTTCAGTATTTTTGTTGTTTTACTTTTCTGGACATTTTCCACAACCCTTTACAGAGCCCTTCCAGGTTCAAATATTGGGCTGCCATTTTCTGCTCTCTCTTTCTACTGTTATACACTTGACCACTGTTTTTATTTTTGTGATTTATTTTTATAACCACAATGCAACATTTTGTTGTTTGTTAATTCTTTACTTGTTCAAGGTATTACTAACCATAGCTAGTTCCACTCCATATCCTACTCCTTGTCCAAAGTTAGTTGGTTTGTAGATCAGGTTGATTTTCTGTATGATGCCAACCTGTAAGAAATAGTCAAACCACAATAATTACATTACATGTATGTTTCATTATAATACGTTACTTTGATTGGCTAATAGCAATCTCGTGTCATTTTGAAATTAACCTTCATTTGAAATTGAAATGTAACATTCATGATGACACGAGCTTCCACAATAAAGTGCACAGTTAAATAAAAGAAAAACTTGATAGAAATCTTGTTTTCATGATCCTAGCAAAAAAATGTAATTATAGAAATTTTATAGGGTTGTAACAGTGTTGACTGTGCACACATTTTTAGAATGAAGCGCTTCCGTGCTTCGGTCAACGCTTTTACATCCCAATAAATTTTCAAAAAGAAGCATTCAATTCTTAAATACAAGGAACTGTCATTTTTAATCATTTCAGTTGTTAAAATTGATTTTATAACAATTTCTTAATTTTCTATAATTCTTAGCTAATTTGTTCTTTTACAATGTTTTGGTAGCTAACTAAAAATTTGCTTCCTCTAAGTTCAAAATTGGTTAAAATCCACTTATGATGTCAGTTTGTTTTGCCTTCCTCTGAATATGCTATTTTGATGCCATATGTTGTCTTTCTAAAAGTCAATTTATTTTAGATCATTTAAAAGAAAGTTGAAGTTTGGCTTCCTTACTCATTTAAAACATAAGAGAAACAGATTTAAGCACCCTGTCTTTTAAGATATGATATAACTTCCCCCTGGACAGTTGTTTGTTTTAATATTTCAAACCCTCTGGCTAAGGTTCATCTATCATGAATAGAGAAATATATCAAACTAGATGCAGTGGAATATCTATAATATCTTATTTGCAACAAATGTTTAATGGAAGTCCGCATAAAATTTGTCAATGAAAATGACCTTATAAAACCTATAAGGTCATTACAAAAATAAGAAGATGTTGTGTGATTGCCAATGAGACAACTCTCCATCAGAGACAACATGACAACTATAGGTCACTGTATGGCCTTCAACAATGAGCATATTCACTAATCAATTGTAAGACACATGTGTGCATGTGTTAATAGTTGTAATTTTTAGTTCTTTTGATCGTTTTATGGACTATAGCCAATACAGGGCATCCATATTTTTTTTATTGATGCATAATTGACAATGATAGAGACTCAGAGTGGCAGTAATATAGTTGTCTAATTGGCAATTTTGCAATTTCAGAATTAAAAGAACTATGGGTAATTTTGTTGTTTGTACCCCAAAATGAAAATAACGTCATGTCACTGGTTTAATTTCCATTTTCTAGGATGTTTTAAACAACCACAACGGTTTGGTATACATTTTTGAAAATATAACCCAGAATGCATTAGATTCTGAGAAGGTGAATTATCTCCTTAATTATTTATATGCAATATGTAATTATGATGATGCTTATTCTTTTTAACAGTGCTACATCAAAACTTACTATATAATTTGCAGCATCATAAATATCATTCCCAGCAATAGTTTGGTAGAACTTGTAATCAGCTACAGCTATCAATCTACACATTTTGTTTCCTGTAGCTCTCTTTCTTCTGCTGTGTGGTATATCATGTTCATCTAAAAGTATAAAGTTGTTAATTTAACATGTAGCTCTAAGTTGTCTCTTTCCCTAGGCCTGTCAATCACACTGACTAGATTGATTGATTGTTTGATTGTTGATGATTGAATTCCCCTTTTAGCACTCTTGGCTTAATCGTGACAACCAGGTTTTATTGGTGGAGGAAGCCAGAGTGCCTAAGATCATAGTACCCAAATTGCATCCATTTAGCAAAAAGAGATGTCACTCACCTTGGTCTATGTGCATATTCAACAAAGGGCACTCTCCAACATTGAAGACAAGAATAGAATTCATAAGAATAATCCCTGTTTTGTTGATTTTGTATTGCTGATCATTTAGTCTGTTTAGTTTCTCTCTTTCTTCTTTACTTTTTGCTCAAAACACAAAAGAGGGGGAAAAAATTCTTATTTAAGGGGCTGGACAATCACTCCTATAAAGAGTGACAGCCTACTACCTTTATCAGCAAAATGTGACTTGTTAGTAGATCGTGAGATTTCCTCTATATTTTCTTAATTGTAGATCTTGACTTGCTGATCATTTTTGTTTATTTAAGTTTCTATCTATATATTATAATTTTTAAGAAATAAGGCAAAAACGCAAAATATTGTAAAAATCATCTTCAAAGGGCAATAACTCTCATAAGGAGAAGGTTGACGATTTCGACAATCCAAAATTTATTTCTAGAACTTGTCTTGCTGATCATTTTTTTAATTTAATGTTTCTCTGTATCTATTATAGTTTTCAAGATAAAAGGCACAAATGAAATGAATAGTTAAATTTGTCATTTAAGGGCAATAAGTCCTATAAGAAGTCGTCTGACAATTTTGACGTAGATGGACAGTTGGTAGAGCTCAACATTCTGAACGTTTTTGCCCGCGTCAGATTTTCTCTATTCATAACGGTTTTCAAAATAATAGACAAAACTTGCATTTTAACTCTATGTTCTATTTTTAGCCATGTCGGCCATGTTGGTTGGCAGGCAGGGTCATCGGACACATTTTTAAAACTAGATACCCAAGGATGATTGTGGCCAAGTTTGGTTAAATTTGTCTTGGTAGTTTCAGAGGAGAAGATTTTTGTAAAAGATTACAAAAATTTACGAAAAATTGAGAACAATTGACGTTAAAGGGCAATCAACGGGTCAATTGACAATTTTGGTCATGTTTGACTTATTTGTAGCTGTTACTTTGCAGATTTGCTCTAAATGCTTTAGTTTCAGAGATATAAGCCAAAAACTGCATTTTTCCCCCATGTTCTATTTTTAGCCATGGCGGCCATCTTGGTTGTTGAGAGGGATCCTCGGATACATTTTTTAAACTAGATACCCTAAGGATGATTTAGGCCAAGTTTGGTTTAATTGGCCTAGTAGTTTCAGAGGAGAAGATTTTTGTAAAAGTTAATGGACGACGACAGATGCCAATAAGTGATGAGAAAAGCTCACTTGGCCCTTTTAAAAATGAGCAATTAAAATATGTTAAGGAATCCATTTCTTTAAAAATAACAGTAAGCATGGACTCTTGTCAAATTGCTCTAAATATTTAGTGAAATAAAACAAAACACTAGTTATTTAATTTTTACTGATGTGAATTTGGGTTCTCCTTATTACAGAATCGTGGATCGTTCGGAGGTTCAAACGCATTTTTCTATGATTCAATATAGATTCAAAATCAAATTGATGGAACTATTTAGAAAATAAGGATACATTTACAAAATAAACACAGAATGGAAACTTTTGTCTTGATCATAAATAAACGTAAAGAGAATCACCCAACTTTGGCAAAAAAACTTGCAATGCTAGTCAATAAAGACAAGGGTCCAATTGTCATGTGCAAAGTTAGAACTCATAACCTCATTGTTGACAGGCTATTGACACATTAGATGAAATACTTAGACCACTTGGCCAATGAGGCCCTACATACTGACTAGAAAAACTAGGCATAATTAATCATAATTCATATCCCATTCCCCCATTTGTATGTACGTTGTTCGACCTGCTAGTCAAATGCTTTTCTACTCCTTTTCCTCCCAACAGGTAAAGATTCATTTCTGTTCATTCTTTTCCTATTAAGAATCCAGACACATCACAATCATAGGTTTGAACGTTGTTTTCAATTTAGACATGTTTACATTTTTTTGTTTGGGCTTGTATTATATTTGCCTTCGGGTTTATATGATCCGTTCATCCTATTTCGACTCTTCAAAATTCAAGAGTCTATCCTAAATTGAGGTAAATCATATGGCCTTCCAAATACCGTTTCGATTCCTAACATCACTGAAGAGACATAAATTGTCGAAATCCGGATATGGTGTACAAATTTTTGGCAATCGCCAATGGCAGTGAGCAGGGTTTAAAAACATTCATTGTTCGACCTGCTAGTCTAATGCGTTTTGTTGAATAGATATAAGAAGATGTGGTATGAGTGCCAATGAGACAACTCTCCATCCAAGTCAAAATTTATAAAAGTAAACCATTATAGGTCACAGTACGGTCTTCAACACGGAGCCTTGGCTCACACCGAACAGTAAGCTATAAAGGGCCCCAAAAAATTACTAGTGTAAAACCATTCAAACGGGAAACCCAATGGTCTAACCTATATAAAAAACGAGAAACGAGAAACACTTATGAACCACATCAACAAACAACAACTACTGAACATCAGATTCCTTTTTCACTTTTTTGGTCTTTTGGAAAATGTTGTTTGTGCTGTATTTAGACCCCTCTACGAAGAAATTTGTTTTGCATGCACATGTATAAAAATTGTGGTTTTTATCCAACGCAATCATAGGTTTGAACATTGTTTTCAATTTAGACTTGTTCGCATGTACAGTACTACCTGTGACATTATCTTATTAATGGTGGCCATAAAAAATATGGTCACCATGATGGCCCTAAATGTCCATCATTATACCTCCTGTTGCTTAATTAATACACAAGGTATCAATCAAAAACTTGTCAATGATAAAGGGAAATCATGACTGCATTGAAATGTTAAAATTATATAACTTACAGGTAAAGTGTCTCAGGTAAAATACCTATGTTTGTCAAATTTAATAACTGTGATTATGACAAGAAAATTCTAAAATAAAATGATATAAAAAAACTAGTTGAACATAAAGCTTCCTAACATTTTTTTTGTAAAAATTTTCTCATGACTGTTTGTTTTAATGTTATACCTTTTAAATAATTCTGTCAATTTAAGTTATTTTTTATATGTATTTTTTGGCAAGTGAATAATAAATGAATATCATCTTCTAATATAATGCAAACTTTCTCCCTGCCTTTTTCCATTGAAAAGGTGTTTCTCAAATTAATTTTTCTAAAATCAAAATTGTTTATACTTACTGCATTTAACATTGTTTAAAAAATGTTTAAGATTATATTTAGGACTTATTTTATATAAAATTTAGGCAATTCATTATTTTGCTATTGAATAAATACATGTATATTCAAAATAATCATTACAGAAAAATTTAATAATATTTTTATTGTCATATAAAAAAAAAACAACCAAAAACAAACATTATAATGCAAAGAAATAACATTTCTATAAGAAATCAAAACACATGGAAAAAAATTATTAGGTTTCTGCCCTCAGATCTAATGACTTTTTTTTACATGTTCCACGTTATAGAGGTTTATTATTTCTTTTACTTTTTGTTCTTGGTTAAGAATTTATTCATCATGTTCATAAGATTCAAGATTTTATTCATAAACTGGTCAGAGACATAATTATGAGAAGGTAAACAATTTGCAAATAGATTATCTCATCTCTAAGTTGTTATGTTAATTTTACAAACAATTCTATCCTTTATAGGAATTTGTATCCACCATTTTCTATTTCTAAATTATGACCACTAATTCTTTACTTAGTGAAGCATTTGAGTGTACTGTTTTCATCATAAGTTTTTATTTTATTTTCAAAAATATTTCTTATTATTTTTCTTAAAATTCATTTTTAATCAAGGGCTTTGAAGAATCTAATTCATTCGTCCCTGCAATTATTAACTTTATCTAAAAGACCTGAGTTGAGTGAAATATTCTTTGCAAATGTATACCAAGAATATGTATCATGCATATGCCAGTCCTGCAGTTTCGACAATATAATACACAGAACAAAAAGTGATTTAATTAATAGACCATAAAAATGTCACAAACTATATAGAAGTGTCATTCATTTTTTCTGGAGACAAATTTTTCCTGTTAACTGACAAAATTAGTCAAACTGAAGATAACATATTTGATAAGTTTACAATTGTTTCAAAATGCAAGACAATTTTTCCTTTAAATAATTTCTTTTCATAAGATTTACTTTATTCATAGATAAGAACATTTTTCATTATGATAAGCATTATGATTAGCATTTATCATGTTCATCAAAACTAGGTAGCCATTTGGAAAATTTAAGTCTCTTTAGTGATTGTTCATGCATAACTCCAGTTTTGAGATTTGAAAAATATAAAGATAAAATAAAAATAGTTTATTCCTATACCATATAATGATATTTGTAGTTTTCCTGAAAAACAATCATGATAATAGATTGTACAACTTTGTTGACAAAATTTATTGTAAAAGGATTGATATTCATGATATTGATAATTTTCATTTGTTAAGAAACAGGCTTGTTAAATTACTTGCTTCATGGTTCCTTTAAACATATCATTTGCATAATTATAAGTTATAATTAATAATAATTCATTTAATAATGCAAACGAACAATTGAATACCATGTACATCATGTACAACAACATTTTTTTACTGAAAAAATATTTATTCAAAGGATTCTCTGTTTTGTTTTCAAATGCTAGTCAATAACTTATCTTTGAATTTTTGTCATTTCTACTCAATATTCTTTCCAAGAAGAAATTTAAAGATTAAGAAGCAAAAAAAAAAAACAAATAAAATATAAAAAATAACATAAAAAAATAAAAACATTAGATAAAAAGGAAAATATGTAAATTTAAAGACAGAAAAATCAACAAATGATATGAATTAACAAAGACTAAAACAACATTCTATTCTACATTTTCAAGAAAAGGTGAAATGTCAATTTGAGAAGAAACCTGAGTTACCTGTACAGGTAAATTTTAATGAAACATACAAGCTGAAAACTTCAACCCTGATTGATTTCAACAGGTAACATAATTAGATAAAACATCAACCTATGTTTTATGACCCCAATAAATGGCCAACATCTCAAGATTGAATACCCCAATAAATGGCCACCATTCGATGGTGACCATACAAGGGGGTGGACATAACTAAGAGGAAGTCACAGGTTGTACTGTATATAGATATAATACAGTCAATGTGTTACAATGTGAAATCAAAAAATTTATAGGGATACTCGTACATATCAATTACTATTCTAACAGAATATCTTTAAATTCTTTAGAATTTCTACTTCTTTTCCCAATGTTCCCCCAACAGGTAAACATTCATTTCTGACCATTCTTTTCCTATTAAGAATCCAGACACATCACTTTCCCAACAAAAGTTTGTTATTTCAGTATTGGTCTATCTCAAAAATAAGAAAAAAGACATAGACCTGCAGATAAAGTATCATAATTCAAATGAATAATCTCTGCATTTAGCATCTTATAAAAAATAGGTCATGTAAGTATATATATGATATTTTTTATCAAATGCTTGATACAAATAATCTTTTTGAAAAGTATGAAAAACTATAATTAAAATAGATGAAGAATGCGTCCCCATGGACGCATATGTCCCCACTTGAAAATATATGACAAATTCTTCAATTTTTCAATTTACAAAGGGACATAACTCAAGAATGGGTGAAAGTTTGTTTCTAAATAAAATATTGCTTACACTAATGGTGAAAGTGATGCCACCCAAATTTGATCTTGATCTGTGTTTTGGTGGTAATAAGCATTGTGTATAAGTTTTATAACATTTGATTGAGGCAAACCAAATTTAGAGTGCGAAAACGGCAAATTTAGCAATTTATTTCGTTTATAAAGGGACATAGCTCGAGAACACTGAAAGTGACGTCACTCAAATTCAAATCTGATCCCTGTTTGGTGGTTATAAGCATTGTGTACAAGTTTTATAACATTTGGCTGAGGCAAAATAAAGTTGGAGAATAAAAACTAATTTTGGGATGTATGGATGTACAGACAGACAAGGGCATAACATAATGCCCCCTGTGCCACAACGGGGCCATAAAAAGTTTAGGTAACTGTAATGATCAACCTAAATTAGAAACATACCTTCATCATGATCATGGGCATGTGTGAATCCTACTGTCTCTCCATCATCACCATCTATATGTGCTGCACCACAAAAATTTGGACTGAAAATTTAAAATAAACATCATTCTTGTGCATGAATTCTAGAAGTGAATAATATAATTCACTGTTTCCTGTTCATGTGTAAATTTATTGTTTATATATCTGTATATGTATATACAAAGACCTAGTCTGACAAACATGATCCAAGGCTTTTTAATGCTGTACATGTTTTTCATTAACTGGACATAAGCTTAAGTTGTACCACCTAAGTATTGCATTATCATAGACTGTGAATGTTGTTTTATTATAGCACTGGTACCATATATAAACAGACCTGTTTTCCAGAAAATTCACCAGAACCTAGGTGGGATATTTGTAAATAATCAAGACTAATATTCCCATACACCATGTACACAAGATAATGTAATATATATATATAATAATATATTATCAGTCAATTGAATACAAGAAATGTGATTGGTTGCTATCATAAATGTATCTATATTTATCACAGGGAATTTCCTATTATGCAAAACTGACAGACTTTTTTTTTCTCTAGCTCTTACCCATTTCCCCCTTTCTGAGCCTCTTCCATTTCTTTAGGCCATTTTGTATCACTTCCTTTGTAAACCATCATAGTTCTACTTGCTCTGACAAGGGTGTCTATGTGTCTCCATGCTGGCTGTAACAAACAGGTTTTCTTTAATGTGGATTCTTTATATTTATGAATACTAATTTTCATGGATTTTGTATTAATTACTCACTTTTTTGTGCATGTGGCTAACTAACTTAAATAATGGCCTGGTGAAAATCCTCATGAAAGGGCAATAACTTTATAAAGTGTTAACTGACAATTTTGGCCAGGTGAGCTAATAAATCTTTAACCAACACAAGTTCACAGGACTAAAATTAAGTAATCCATTACTCAACTGACAACAGAATGTTGCATAATAAGTAAGAAATCTTATCTAAGGGCATTAACTCCTATAAGGTGGTGTCTTACAATTTTAGATGATGGTCCTCAAGATATGAAAGAAGGAGAAAGAAGAATATCAATACATACCTCAATAATAAAACTTTCACCAGGGATGGATATTGTAGCTGATATAACCCCATCATGGAGAAATGCATTGACCTCAGATTTTTCCTCTCCTGATATAAAAAAAGGTATGTTTAGTAATTTTTCTGTTTATTACAGAATACATGTACTTAAAGTCATAAAAAACAATACATAAGGACTGTTCAATCAATACATACAAGAGACCCTGAGGAAAGGCACTTTGAAATCTTAACTATGGGTGGGTGTCAAGTACAGTGAAAATGTTTCAAGTGAAATTCTAAGTTTGCCTCTTTCTGTGGTTACCTGTTTTTAATGGTGCCTTCCCTGGGTACCATGTATGTTTAAAAGGAACAACCCTATGTATGATAAAAGGTTTGACTGATGCTGTAGAAATCCACTACCTACGAACTTATTCTTTCAGTTAAATTCACAGTAAAGGGTTTGAAATTAATTCAGAACTTGCTCAGTTTACCATGACAGCAAAAATTCATACTGGGTGATTAATTTCTATTTTCAAGTAGCCATGTTTATGATAGTCTTTTCGCCACTAACCCTAGTTTGGAGATTAGACTCAATCTTTTTGCAAAGAAATTCATCAACATATCAGTTGTTGTACTTTGTAGTTTTTTTTTTAAACTTGACTGTCTTTTGATATAAGCAAATATTAAAGGATTCAGACATTTGTTCCCCAAACATGTTTAAATTCCTTATAAAAAAATTGACTTTTCCTGAATACTTGAACTCCTGAATCACCTATTGTTCTTTCACCCATGTTTGATATATTACAACTGTTTATGTTCTGGTAAAGCAAGAGTATGGTTCTTAGATTAGTGAAGACGCAATCTTTTATCCAGCTAAGTAAGTGACCCAAAAGTAAGAGAAAATTCAGACTGTTTTTCTTTGTGTATTTTAAAGATGTAAACCTGAACATGCATATCTTTACTCCTTTGTAAAGCTGTTGAATATAGATAGTTTTTGAAAAGTTAAATTAGTCCATGTGTGTACCATTGGCAACAGTCTTTCAACAGCTTTAAATTTTTGAACTGTATTATGTTAATAAAGGTAGGATTGATGTTTTTCAAATAAAATGTACTTTTCTTTATTTACATTAAAATTAACATTATATGTTTTTTTTCTATAAATCTATGTGGCTTTTAAACTTTTTCAACCGGTGTCCTTTACAGTTAATTCTGGGCCTTTGTATTAAATTAGCTTTTGGTTGCAATTGTAATTTCAATGTATATGATTGATTGATGTTTAACACCACTTTCAGCACTATTGTGCTTTTTCATGGCAGTCAGCTTTTATTGGTGGAGGAAGCCTGAGTGCCAGGAGAAAACCACTGACCTTCAGTATGAAAACTTACAATCATAGTCAATTAGGATTGGAGTCGAGTGCACCTGCACAGGTGGGGTTCGAACTCGCAACCTCAGTGTTGACTGGCTAGTGATTACAGTAGTTGAACTACTTAGATCACTCAGCAACAGAGCCCCCAATGTATATGACGTTAACCCTTTGAAAGTAATTGTTGTTTTATACAGTGATAAATTCAGTGCATGAGTTCAAAAAATTGTTTGTTGTTTGTAAAATACCATTCTTACCATCTAAAGTTCCATAATAAAAGCTGTTAGTATCTAGATGCTCATCTGAAAAGGTTCCATCGCTGTGAACTAATTGCACTTTAAAATCTTGTGTAAATAACCCCTTTGCTACTTCTAAATCCAAAGAAAAATTTCTACAAAATATTTAAACCATATTATTTATACAATAGGTTATAATATAAAAATAAAGGATGAGGTATGATTTCCAATGAGACAACTATCCATCAATGTTCAAATAAATTGGATGTAACCAATTATAGGCAACTGTACGGCCTTCCATAATGAGAAAAACCCATACTGTATAGTTGGCTATAAAAGGCCTAGACATGAAAAATATAATGTATGAACTCTTGTCATATTTGAAATTGTTTTGTACATATAAACAAGGCTGATGGTTCCTCTTTTGAATTGTTTTACATTTTGTCACTGTTTTTTACTTTTATAGCTTTCTGTACGGTAAGGATACTTAAGTCATCATGATATTAAAGAAAACTGGTTTTCAATAATGAATTATCATCAAGATGCTAAAAACAAAAACTGGTTACCGATAATCAATCATGATTTAAAAGAAAACAATAAAACATAAAAAATTAAAACTGAAAGTTATAAATCACTGTACACTTACCTTCCTAAAGCTGAAAATTTTACATGCTTATTATGAGGAGAGTCACCAATGCTTCTTTTCGCAACACTTTCAATATCGACTGATTCAAGGGTCTCATAATAGCCTAACTTTTCATCAATAGATCCTGCAATATCAAATTTATTAAGTTAAAAACAGTTTCTTATTCCAGTGTCAGTATTTAAATATGCAATATACATTTTGCATGTACCATGAAATACAAATCTTAAGACATTAACCACACCAAACAAGTTGGTCCCCACTTTTGAATGACTCAACAGCAGATTATAACTTATCCCACCTCGGATAAATTATGACGTTATGATTGGTTTAATGCGTCACGTGGTGACCTCCTATGAATCCATATGAGGTTAGTAGATTTCATATGGGGTTCATGACGTCACGTTAACTATTAATGGTGACGTCGTCAATTAATGTTTTTGTATTTTATTGCTTATTTTTATACAGAACTTAGCAGGAAAAGTCCCATGTGCGATACATTCGTTATACAGTTCATTACTGACCCCATATGGATCCTCTGCATGCTCTGTTATATTTGCACTTCAATAGAAAAAAGAAATGCCTCAAAAGCTATGTCATAATGAACCAAGTTAGAACCCTTGAAATTGCCATATTCATGGTCAGGTAAAGTAGAGATTAGGTAAGAATTAGAGAAATATTGTTATCATGAAATCAAATAAGAGATTTTATGTGAAAATGCTTTCAGCTTTGAACTAACAACAGTAACTTTGGGGTCTACTCATTGTATTGTTTTTACTGTAATTCTATTTTACACTTATATAGTAATTTGATTTAACAAACTAAATACATTTGTAAAATGAAAAATCGTGAAGGAGAAAAGCACATATATAGGTGCATAAAATTAGAGGCAAGTGAAGATTGTTTACTTTTCTATCATTTATAATGCATATACGACAGTAATTGGCATAGTGTTTTGACACTTGTTTGATGTACGACGGGAATAGCTGCCAATGTTGTGGCATCAAGAATACACTGGGTCGTAAATTAGCGCCAAAAAGGGAAATGGGATCTCAAGCACTTAAAAAACTAGGTTTTCTATTTCTAGCTTTAAAATGAGCACATGGACCACCATTTTTCTCTTTTGCAACCTACTACATGTATATACTACTCCAAGAATATTTTAACGAAATTGCAAGAAAAAATCAACAGTAGAATTTTTTCTATAAGCATTTTTATTGGCAAGAAAATTTTCTACAGTTTTTTCATTTTTTTATTTACAAATCATTGTATGATTTCACAAAATTGTTATCCCGTTCAGCCTTCATTTACTGAGGACACTTTGGGAAAAACCAGTCAACAATATGTATTTCCATTTGAAGGTTGCAGTTTTCTCTTTTTTTCACTAAGGTAAGGTGGGTGTTTTGTTTTGTTGTTAAAAATTTCCAACCGGTTTTATTTTTTTACTGTGGGTGGGGGTCACAAAACATTTTGCAACAAGAAAGATTAGTATTGTATTCACATTTAATGGAATTGAACAAATCTAAATAGAGGTAGTCACATAAACTGTCAAATATTCTTCTTTGAAATTATTTTTTACAATAATTTATCCCTTTTTTCTCTTTCATTCACTATTTAAAGTATTTTATGCATCAGCATTAATTTAACAACAATAAACTTAAGTTCTTTGTTTCTTTGTCCACACTTTTTGATACTAATGCATGGCCTATCGATCCAAGTTTCTGTCCTGTTCCTCGCTTTAGTGCTGTATTTTTGGTACATAGAACAGTAATATACATTAGCCATTTAAAGTCCTGTTCATATTTATCTTCACTTGCATGCCTTTTCCTGTATTTTTTATGCTTTTTTTCAATTTCAATACAACTATCCGTTTTAGTGGACTTATTTGATCTAGAATTTTCCTGATCATCATCGTCATCTGCCTTTCTCTACCCCCGATTAATAAAAGAAAACATTGAAATTTGACGATCAGCCATTTTTGTCAATGAAAACAAATCAGCTTAGCACAACTTGTATTTAAATTTTTACAGTTCAGAACCGAAAAAAATCTGGAATTTGAAAAAAAAGCTGACCACCTCCTAAAATGGAAAGGTGGTCGGCTTTAAAAAGAAGGCTGTCGGCACACCCTGCTTAAATGCCGAATGGAAAACTCCGAGTTGTGTTGTTGTTTTAGTGTCAAGTTCTGAAGGAAAAATCAAAGAGTGATCTTTTCTGTATCATATGCCCTTAATACTTAAAGCATGATTATACATGTAGTCACAATACGGCATTCAGCAAAGAAAAAAAAAACATATTGTATATTCGACTATAAAAGGTCGAGACATAAAAAATTTGAAACAATTCAAACGAAACAACTGACGGCCTTATTGAAAACAAAACAATTTACGAAAAACAAATATAACAGACATGAACCAACGGCAACGATTTTGTTTGTTTAAAACTGAACGGATATTCTTGATTTCTTCAATACACCTTATCGCTAATCCCGCTTGACCCGAGAATCAGTCCCGCTCGAACTTTTGACGTCATACAACAATCACTTTTCCATTGTGGCGTCAGATATTTTCTATTATGACGTCAAAATATTACGGGAACTTGTGTGATGTCCAGTAATGGCGGACAAATAGCGATAAGGTGTATACAGATCATTCATAAAAAATAATCTTTACATAACGTTTACCATGAATTGTGTTAACAACAAGGAAAAATACAGGAATATGCACTAGTTTAAGGGAGAACATCTTGCCGATCTGAAAATGTTTTCATTGGTAACCCCGCTCACTTGAAAACTTCCGGTTCCTTCAAGGGAGATAATTTAGCCTCAAAATCTGGCGGGAAATTTCGATTGTGCAAAAAGCTATTTTGAATAACTATTTCTATATATATTGATCTATATTCAATAAAGAATTTGTCGTTTCAAAAATCATACTATAGCTATAGCTATATATTTGATATCCAAGTGCAATGGTCTATCTCCCTACACAACTACAAGGATTTGTATATGCCCGTGAGCCAAAATTCGTTCCAGACCTGTGAAAAAAGATCCAGTGGAACTTATATCACAGGAAATATGTTCTGGGAGAACTTTTTTCACAGATGATTTCTATATAATTTGTTCCATCTCTATAAAATAAGTTCCACACTTTACCTGGTGAAATAAGTACCGGGTTGGTGAAATTTGTTCCTTACCTGGTGAAATAGGTACCGGGTTTATGAGATTTGTTCCTTATCTGGTGAAATAAGTTCTGGGTTTGTGAGATTTGTTCCTCACCTGGTGAAATAAGTTCCTTGTCTGTGAAATATGTTCCACTGGTTAAACAAGTTAACTTATATACTGAGCATTTGTCATCAGTGAGTTTAAAGTTATCATTCAAGTGCATTATAAAAATAAGTATTATATCAATAATAAAAAAGTAAAAAGTGTAAATCATCCAATTCGGATCCTGTGGAGTATGTCAAATGTTTAATTATATACTCCGTAAAAAATATCAAAATGACACTTTTCAGCCAGAAAAGAGTAGAATAAGAAAAATCAATCATTCAGAAAAAAAGATGAACATATGTACTTATTTAAAAAGGACAAAGTGACTGATCAGTTATATCAAAAGACATGTAGAAACAAAAGACCTAAGTACATGTATGACTAGAACACGCGGCCATGACAGTTAACAAAAAACAAGGAGGAAAACCACATAAAACATAAATACAAATTATGCTACATTACCATCGCTTTTATTTCTTATCTTCATCCTTTAGTTACAGTCATGCCTTCAATTGCAAATGTATTCCATGCAAGCACACTCAGTACAGCACTCAGCTTGCATTATAATTTAAATGTAGCAAGAAAATATTTCGCTTGCAATTTGTTGCAAAGGTACTTATTTTCTGTGAAAATAGGTTTGAGCGGAATTTATTCATTGATTTCTATGAAATATGTACACGTTCGTTTAAAACAAATATCACAGGAACTTATTTTACTTTTTAAAACTCTTAATATTAATTGGAACAAAATTCATGGTGCTATGATTTTTGTTCCGGAACTTATTTCACATTTGGTCATGAAATTAGTTCCGGAACAAATTTTACAGTGCTGGAACATATTTTCTGTGATATAAAGTCCGGTGGAACATATTCCTATGAAATTTGTTATAATATGAATCCAGATTTTCACCATACGGCCTCTTATAGTGTTAAATTTTGAAAAAAATAATTTGATTGATAGCGTAGAAAAAACTAAAAAAAAATTCTGATTCTGACTCAGACAAAAGACCATAACCCCCCCCCCCCCCCCCTTTGAAGTTAAATGGTTGCTCCCTTAGTTCAGCGAAAAATATTTCATAGTGTTGTATCTCGAACCACTATTTTTTCAGGTATATTTTGCTGTAAAATAATTGTTATCATAATTGTCTTATAAGTACTATGCTTAAATTGTTTGAATGGTTTGAACTCAATCTATATGAGCAATGTTTAACAAATCAAGCAATTCAGAAATGGGTCTATTTCCAGTAATAGAGGGCGTGGATGGGGTTTACGAAAATAGAGAAATATGGACCAAAACAAATAAAGAATAGAGAAAAATGGGAAAAAAATATAGAATAGAGAATAATGGGGTGCTAAAATATAAAGAATAACTGCAAATATTAAAGAATTGGGTAAAAATATACAGACTTCAGAAAAAAAACATTGTCCAGAATACAGTTATCAAGTAATTACAGAATAGCCATTATTTTTAAAGATAAAGAATAATGAGCGAAAAAATTAAAGAATACAGAAATGAAGGAACCCCCATCCATACCCTCATAAAAATAGTAATAGGGATAATTTCTAAAACAACATTATTTGTCGCGAAGTATTTTTTCTCCAGAAAAGGGGATGCTTTATTAATCGAAGTTGCTTGTCTTTTAAAAAACAATCGAAGAAAGAGCTACTCTTGATGTACATAAATTCGATTTCTATATAACTTTTTATGTCTCAGTCAAATATTTATGATATTGCGCTTTTAAACTTTAATTTCAATTTTTACCACTACTATATAATATTACCAAATTGGAAATAAATCTTTATAAGATTCTCAAGACGGAGTGCCGCGTCTGCCCTGGCTCCATTTATGTTCAATAGTTTGGTGAAATTAAAATATATATACTCAGATTTTTGCGATAATATTAAAGTATGTTTATGATAACTCTAAAGGAAGAATCACATTTTTTTTATTATTCTATGTAACATTTTTTCTGCAAACTAAATCCAAGTGGCGTACTTGAAATGTGTATCTATTGAATTAGTTACCCATAGGTTAAATTACTTCTCCCCATGAATATGAAACTACTCTGTAATGATTTCAAAAGTACAAATCATCTTAAAGATTGTGTTTTGGCATAACTGTGTAGAGACAGAAACTGTATAAAAAAAGTGCAATAGTTATTACGTTTTGGAAACCAAGACCACATGCAGACAAAACTGACATTACCACTGCTAAACAAGTGAGGGTATCACTGCTAAACAAGTGAGGGTGGGGACACGGGGGTTCTCATTTCCCAAATATAGCTGTTGTTTGTAAGTTTTTCTCTCTTCCCACTTTTTTCCCTACTTTTTCCTTGATATCTCCTATATCCCACATCCCCACGTTATTTACTCCTATATCCCACATCTCCACGTTATTTACCCATTTATCCCACATCCCCACGTTATTATCCCACATCCCCACGTTATTTACCCCTATATCCCACATCCCCACGTTATTTACCCCTATATCCCACATCCCCACGTTATTTACCCCTATATCCCACATCCCCACGTTATTTACCCCTATATCCAACATCCCACGTTATTTACCCCTATATCCTACATCCCCACATTTAACTTATTTACTCCTATATCCCACATCCCCACGTTATTTACTCCTATATCCCACATCCCCACGTTATTTACTCCTATATCCCACATCCCCACGTTATTTACCCCTATATCCCACATTTCCACGTTATTTACTCCTATATCCCACATCCTCACGTTATTTACCCCTATATCCCACATCCCCACGTTATTTACCCCTATATCCCAAATCCCCACGGTATTTACCCATATATCCCACATCCCAACGTTATTTACTCCTATATCCCACATCCCCACGTTATTTACTCCTATATCCAACATCCCAACGTTATTTACCCCTATATCCCACATTTCCACGTTATTTACTCCTATATCCCATATCCCCACGTTATTTACCCCTATATCCCACATCCCCACGTTATTTACCCCTATATCCCACATCCCCACGTTATTTACCTCTATATCCCACATCCCCACGTTATTTACCCCTATATCCCACATCCCCACGTTATTTACCCCTATATCCCACATCCTCACGTTATTTACCCCTATATCCCACATCCCCACGTTATTTACCCCTTTATCCCACATCCCCACGTTATTTACCCCTATATCACACATCCCCGCGTTATTTACTCCTATATCCCACATCCCCACGTTATTTACCCCTTTATCCCACATCCCCACGTTATTATCCCACATCCCCACGTTATTTACCCCTATATCCCACATCCCCACGTTATTTACCCCTATATCCCACATCCCCACGTTATTTACCTCTTTATCCCACATCCCCACGTTATTTACCCCTATATCCAACATCCCACGTTATTTACCCCTATATCCCACATCCCCACATCTAACTTATTTACTCCTATATCCCACATCCCCACGTTATTTACTCCTATATCCCACATCCCCACGTTATTTACTCCTATATCCCACATCCCCACGTTATTTACCCCTATATCCCACATTTCCACGTTATTTACTCCTATATCCCACATCCTCACGTTATTTACCCCTATATCCCACATCCCCACGTTATTTACCCCTATATCCCACATCCCCACGGTATTTACCCATATATCCCACATCCCCACGTTATTTACTCCTATATCCCACATCCCCACGTTATTTACCCCTATATCCAACATCCCCACGTTATTTACCCCTTTTTCCCACATTTCCACGTTATTTACTCCTATATCCCACATCCCCACGTTATTTACCCCTATATCCCACATCCCCACGTTATTTACCCCTATATCCCACATCCCCACGTTATTTACCTCTATATCCCACATCCCCACGTTATTTACCCCTATATCCCACATCCCCACGTTATTTACCCCTATATCCCACATCCTCACGTTATTTACCCCTATATCCCACATCCCCACGTTATTTACCCCTTTATCCCACATCCCCACGTTATTTACTTCTATATCCCACATCCCAACGTTATTTACCCCTTTTTCCCACATCCACAAAAAGTGCAATTGCGTTTTAGAAACCAAGATCACATGCATACAGAAGAAGATATTATCATTGCAAAAAAGTGAGGGTGGTGACACGGGGGTTCTCATTTCCCAAATCCCGCTATTGTAATGTATTCCCTCTTTTTTCCCTTCTTTTCCAAGACTTCACCTTCCCCAACCCCACCCCTATATATCCCACTTCTCAGAAGCGTGTCATCCTCCTCTAAAGTGAGAAGTTATTTGTTTATACTATTACCATATTACTTACTACATGTATGGTTAAAGTAACAGACTAGACTAGTTTTGCCGTATATACTTCCCTCATACTAACGTTTGTGAAAATGAGGAAGAACAGGCAATCAATTAAAATATATAGATCTCTGATTTCGCTATCCTGATATGAGCGTACAATACGAGCACGCCAGTTGTGATAGATCCGAATAAAAGAAAATAAACTGA